TGAATAGCCACACCTCCCCTGCCCCACCCAATACACAAGTGAAGTATTTTCCTAGTTTTTACAGAAAAGGATTGTCTGAAATTCAAATAGTGGGAATAAAAATGAGAGAGAAGGACATATAAAATACAGAAATAAGTGTCTGACATCCATTTCTGAGAGACAATCAAATTTTGAGATCAGTTAGACATTCCACAGATGGAAAAACTGAGGCCTAGTAAAGAGAAAGGCTTGTGTAAAGTATCAGGGGGAATTACTGATTAAGCTAGCCCTAGAGTCTAAAGTTTCCCTTTTTTAAAATAATTATTTATTTTATTTATTTATTATTATTTTTAAATTTGCTATAGGGCATGTGCTCACCTGAGAGAGACAGGAGAGGAAGAGAGAGAAAGAAAGTGTGTATGAAAGAAAGCAGGCCACAAGGTCCGAGACTCAAACTGCAGTCAGCAATGTGGGGGTCCAGAGCCTTAACTACCATGCCACCTGCTGGCCCAAAATATGAAATTTCTGACCACTTTTTTCTCTTTTTAAATTTTGTAAACTAAGAAAGTAGTCAACTTAATCTTAAAGACAAGTCTAGAGTTGAATATTATATCCCAGAATTTAATTGGAAGATCAAACCACAACAGAAGAGAGATAAAGAACATGAGACTGAACTGGGAAAATACAATTTTATGACTTTTGACTAAAACATTACTGATTTTTTGGGACCAGCAGTTGGTGTAATGGCTATGTCACTGGACTCCCATGTAGTCGACCACAGTTCGAACCCTGGACCCAGTGGTTTAAACTCACGCCGGTCACGTGTGCGTGTGTGCTCAAGATCCCGAGAGGAGAATGGAGGAGAAGGGATTGTGGCATGGCCATTCCCCCTTGGGTGGTGATTTCTCGCTTTCTGTCTCTCTTCCTCTCTTTGTCTTTCTGGTGAGTGCATGCACCCTATAGCAAAAAGCTCTCCAAAAGGAATCAAAAACCAAAAAACAAAAACCACATTGTTGATTTTTTTCCTAGGCTTTGTTTTCCAGTTTTAAGGATTTTTGTCCTGTCTTGAGCTGCTGATAGGTTCATGTACCTATTTGAACAGAATCCCAGCCTGTTTCCTGTTTTAAGTTTTAAGCAAAGTTCCTTAGCATTTCTTTGATTTATTAAAGCTAAAACTGCTTCTCTTGAAATTAAAAAAAATACAGTAGAAAATACCTATTTAATGACCATAGCAAGTTATATAGCATCAGCTAGGTACTACCTATATTATATTCATTCTACTCAGAGTTTCACACCTAAAGTCAGACATGTATTCACAAATATGTATATACCATCTGAACTTGCTATCAAAAGTAGTTAGATTATTTAAGAAATTTTGTGAATCAATAAAATGTCGGGAAAAAAGGAATGGAAAACAACTGTGGACACCTGAGATAGTGTGGGAAGAGAGCGGGAAATGACAAAGGGTGAGAAATAGGGATATAT